TTCGTATTCCCTGCCTTATTCCCTGCCATCGCTGTGAAAAATACGCAAGAGAATCTCTCAACTCTCACCATTTGATCGCGCAACGTGACAACACCCACGTGAGAGCCCCCGACATGTGCGTGAATCCGCGCGGATATATGACGTCAGGATGTGCAATTTGTTCTAAAAGAAGAAAAATTGTCCCATATCATAGGTGCGCGCGAATCCCGAGACTTACGGTCTCCGTCCCCGATTATGGCTCCTGATAAAAAATTAACTGTTTGGTAGGGTATATGATGTTACTGCAATGTCAAATTCATAATGATAGTTTATAGTTGATTTTACAACATTGATAGTTGCTGTTCAAGAGGTATTTGATTTTTCAACACCGAAATGTTGATGTTACAAAGTTTATAGTTGTTAACAAAATGTTTATTTTATAGTTTTATTAAAGAGTTTTTTCAGAAGTGTCCATTGCACAATGTTGATTCGTAGGGACCATTCATTTTCTGAGGGGGACGGGGGTAGACTGATGTTTTAGAGCGGGGGGGAGGCGTGCCAATAAATTTGCCTTCAAAGGGAGGATCATGCAAAAAACATTTGCAGTGAAGGTGCAGCACACAAAACAACTTGTTTACAAAATGTCCATTTTAAAGATTTATTAAAGAGAGGAAAGCAGGGACTGGTGATATTTTACAGGGGGTCGTGCCAAACAGTTGGCTTTAAAGGGGGAACCGGACCCATGCAAAAACATTTGCACTGTAATGGGGGAGGGGTTACTAAAATATCCCCCTCCTTTATGTACCATCTTCAGCTAAATGAGTTTTTTGTAAGTTTTGTAATTGCCATCATCATTATTATTTTTTTCTTCTTTGGGGGGAGGGGGAGGGAGGTGTAATATCAAATATTTATGAACACTAAAAGNTCCCTGCCTTATTCCCTGCCATCGCTGTGAAAAATACGCAAGAGAATCTCTCAACTCTCACCATTTGATCACGCAACGTGACAACATCCACGCGAGAGAGCCTGACATGTGCGTGAATCCGCGCGGATATATGACGTCAGGATGGCGCAATTTGTTCTAAAAATAGAAAAAATTGTCCCATATCATAGGTGCGCGCGAATTCCGAGACTTACGGTCTCCGTCCCCGATTATGGCTCCTGCACCCTGGCACATACTGAGAAGATATTGACCCAGAAAGCTATTGTTTATAAACGGGCGAGCGTGTCATACAGCTTGGTTAGCAAACAAATCTCAGTGAAATGCGAAGCAGATTTGGTTGTTTTGCATTGTTCGTTTGCATAGCTGTTCTTCAGAGAGTGTTGTTATATTTTTCAAGGGCTACCTTAGTTAACTTTGAACGCTCCCACAAATCCTTGGGACCTTGCGTAAGCTTGGCGCGAAATGGAACCGGCCATGTTGAATCTTTTGAAAGCCAGTTCTTACTTTCCAGTTGAATTGTTCGAAAATACGTCGTGGATCAAGTTAAGTCACTATTTGGTTTCGTAGACTTAGGATTACCTTTCAGAGCGATATTTAACTGGAGAACCCTTGTATTTGCAACGAATTACACCGAGAAACTGTAATCTCCACGTACGAACAATTAAACCTTGTTCGTTACCTCGGTTGTGTCCTGATGTACCGGTACACAGAGGGAATAACCATTGTACTCATTTCCATAGCAACAGTATGACCTGCTAAAAAAAGCCTTTATTATAGCTTTAAGGACTTATAATTCAAAAACGACGCGGTAATTTTTTTTTACATTATTAAATGTTGATAAGCAGGATAAGACGCAACTTTTAGCCAAAAAAGTTTCTGGACATAGGGTTCAAAGCCACCTTAAATTTTCAACACTTTAAGGTGGTCTTCGATCGTGCCATCGTCGTTGTCTCCAATAAACTGTTAAGGATGTCAGCATTGTGTCAATAATTCTGGTTTCTGAGGAATATGGCGCTACCCATTATAAAAGTAATTGCCTGAACCTGTAAGAGAATGAAGCAATCAGCGACCGCCATCAATGTTCACTAATATGACAAAACAAAATAAAAATATATTTTGGTAACAAGCACTCCACTGCCATACCCCTTCAAAAATGTTTGATATGTATTTGGGTTCGTTAGAGTGAACTACATAGCGAATGATTTATTGCAGACAAAATAAACCAGTGATGAGTTATAAAATTCAGTTTAGTCTTAAAAGCTTAGTTTTATTCTCTCGTAACGTATTAAAGTTGACTGAAGGCCCGATATTTACATGTGTTGCCAGCCCTGTCTGTCAAACGTAACTTGTAATGAGAAAAGAACATTTTTATACGGCAGATTCCCACGGTGAAAGGACCACGAGGGAAACCTTCAGGGTTACTTCACTGCATTCGCCAAGTCAGTAAACTTATGCTGAAACGAAATTAGCCGCTTCTGGTGTTCATGCATTCGGTTGAAAGATCCTGGGGACGAGATTGAGTGGGAAACTGTGAGTATCTGGAATGGTGCATTACCAAGCTTAATAACGGTTAAGGAAAGTGACTGAAATAACATTTCCTATTCTGGTACAAAATACTGACCATTCTGGGCTCCAGTCTCTCATCCCTCTCACTCTTCGTACCGCTGATTTGAAACTGAAAGTAGAAACCTATTTTCGACCTCAGAGCGAAAAACGTAATAAGCATGCGCGAGTTTTGGCTTCGCACCAGCCTCCGAGTTTGAAAAAATGTCGGGAATTTCGTCGATCGTGTAGACAAAAAAGTTAAGAACTTTATATGCTTTCCCAATTTTCCCAGAAAGCAGCAACATTTTAACCTCACTAATGGACAGCTGGTGTATTGCTTCCGTGGGGAATCGATTTTTTTCGGATAAAATTAATCTAAAGAAGGTTTCTGAACCCTTCCCCGCGGTATACAAGAAAGACACATTTTCCGTTGAAATACTCTTTACGTATTGCACCCATATAAGCACACCACTGAATATATAAGCAAGAGAGCCTCTCCACACGCAGGGAGAGCCTTCTTCTCTTAACAGCGAAATGCCGAAAAAAATTCATGCTTGCCCAAGTATAAAACAATCAATCGAACGACATTCTCGCGTACCTTATCAGAATCCGCCATTCTTTCCACCATTGCGGCTCCCATTGCAGCTCGCCTCATCACCTGAGCCTGCAAGTAGGACTAGGGATGCGCAGAAAGCTGCGCTGTATGTTTTTCCGCTCTGAAATTTTCGACCAAATCTGCCCTACTTCCCGTTGGTACTGATCAAATGCACTCTCGTCCTCAGGTCCCTGTGTACAATTAGTCGCCCGCTGTTTTTCTTCAGAGGAGTGGGCGGCTACACACAGACCAGTCCTCGGAGGATGTTCGCTTTTTCTCGCCATTTATCATTTGTGAAAAATAAATTAGGAGCTCTAGCTATGGATGAAACTATAGATGAGCGCGCCGTTAGAGTGGCCAATGAGATAACAAAGCAGACAATCTTTCATTGAGCTATCAAAAAAAAGGTGGATATTTTGATCAAATTTAATCTCTTTGTTATTTATTCCCCTTCTGGTGCGGGTCAGTGATCCTTGACTGAATTGTGGTATGACGCACTTCATTAGAAACTGTTTCCATTTACGTCACATAGCAACATGTCAGACTTGTCTATAGAGAAGGGAAAGGCCCACTTTCGATTTGATGGCGAACAAAAGACCATCAACCACATGAATGACTTTTGGACCTTTATGATTTTATTCTTGCGTGGGTCAGGGTTTTATCATGCCACGGGAATAAATTCCCAAAAAGACTGACAACAAAGTTGTTTAGAAATAATTCAAAAGACGTTTTTTAATGTTGGGGAAATTGTTCACTTAACCTGTCAAAAATTGAGCACAGTTAAGAGTTCTTGTTTCTTTAAAGGAATATTCAGAACGCTGAAGGTAAGTGAAAGTGTTGTAACTTATTGTTTACAAAGTATTCGAAGTGGAACCGGCGTAGACTGTAGTTTTCGCTCCCTTAATTCAGTGTCTTAAACCTACTGGAATGTATTTTCTCTCTTTCCCAAAGGTTCAATTCGATCAGACAATATGAAAGGTTCGATAACTGAGCTATCAATTTTACTACAGATTAATCGCAGTCATTCAATTTTACTGCGCTCGATTATAGCAGAACAATGGAACTTGCACGCTATATTTCCCGCTCTTAGAATACAATCGAACATTAGAACTAACTTTTTATCACAACTGAGTTTCCTTGGATGACCCTGTTGCTACACTAAGCAAAGACAATTTGCTACATTAAGATATAATATCCTCTGCAGTAGCGTTACGTTTTGCTGCTTTTTATTGTGACTTAATTAATTGCAATTACCTCAAAAGAAAATCGACGTTTTTAGACGTCTTTGTTATGCATAAATTATGACAGTTCCTTGTATTGAAAATGCCATTTTGCAATAATGTATTGTGATCGTGTTTGGCTAATAGACAGAGCTTTGTCTATTTCGCCGTAAAATGTGTATGACGGACTACGTCATTCACGGGTTTTGGAAGTGTGCACTTGAAAAATCTTGTCACGACTGAATCCATTTTAAAGTTGTTTTGACTACTTTCAAAATTTTTGAATTTTAAGGTGGCGGACACTTTGAAATATGTCACGTAATTTTGACTTTCTGTGACGTCGTTGAACACGGATTTGGATGCTTTACCCGTCAATAGGCCCTTTGCACGATCCGGTCACATGGTACGGAATTAATTAGGCTGGGACGCAAGTTAAACAGTGGGACTTTCAAAACAAAGGAAAGTCGGGCTGGACTGGTACGAGTTCCTTTCTTTTGAAAGTCCCACTGTGTAACTAAGAGCCTATTAAGGACGGTGCCTACTTTTGTTAGTGCGCACACGTTCTGCGTATCACTCAAGTCATGGTTTAAGCGCCACGCGCGCGCTGGGTTGACATGACGCAATCAACTACGCTACCAAATACACGACTAAATTGAAAGCAAAATTCTCCTACTGGGGACCAAATCAAGTTTAATGAACCTGTACTTAAACCAGGAACACAAGAACAGCAGCATATCGCTAACCACTAACTGATAACGTCTTCCAGCTGCAAAACTAGTTGTTATATGTCGAAAATTATACTGAAATCCAACTGTAAACATGTGCCTGCAGATGGCTTAGTGCGCGCGCAAAACAAGTGCGAGATACGCAAATGTTTTACTTACTGGTGAGGTGACAGGAAAAAATGTAACGGGCACCGTAAAAAGTTTCAAAAAGGATCAATAACTTTAAAAAACGCATGGTTACCCTACATTTTATGTTAGGAAATGGAAGTGGCAAGCCTAATCAACACGTGATTAGTTTCTGGTTGCGAGCAAAAGATATTTAGACTGTATTTTAGGTGAAAAGGCTGTCAGAGACGCTAAAAGTGCTGTTGCAACGATTTTGTTATTAAAAACATACCAAAAATGGTTTTTGTGTTACCATTTACCATGTAGTTTTCAGATCTTTATAAATTTGTTTGCCTTTCTGTACGTAAAGGCGAATTCTAAAGAAGCTGTGAAGAAATATCCTCTCCTTCTGTTTTCAGAAAAATGCTGACGTCAGCATTTTTGTTGAGATTCAAGGCTAATTATCTCGAAAAAACGCGTGGCTAGCCCCATTTTTCTTCGTGGATTCCAATAGCCCTCGCAAAGATCTACTTTTTNGGGGGGGGGGGGGGTGATGGGGCACATTTAGGCTCTCTAACGAAAAAAAAGTCTACGTTAAATAGACTCAACTCAGCTATGTATGAAGTAAGCACTGTCAATTGACATGAAACCTGTCGACATCTTGCACGTGGTAATGCTGTGGAACTTCAATATTCAGCGCACAGTCTTCCTGCTCATGCGCACATAATGTGAGTCAAATATCCAAACGAACTTGCCCACTGGCCCTTGGGCAACCTCGCTGTCAAAGAATTAGAGTTGGTGCTGTTCCTGACTGAAGGACTGAATGGAGATGTTGTGATCTCAGCGATCAGTAAATGTTACAGATCACGGATCTCAGCTTTAATTAAAAACGCTTGAAATTTCAACTGTGACTTAAATTTTTGATCACCTCTCAGTTATCAGTTACACCCCATCTAGACCCTCCTGACTGTGCCCATCTCAGAGAGTTCAACAAGCAAAGCAGGGATCTCACATCTCTTATCCTGAACCAATAGCCACTAGTTTGTATTTCCACTATGTTACCAGTTTTGTATTAAAATCACTGATCAATTTGCCACAATCGCACTTAAATATCGAGAAGAAATCTGAGTCGAGACTAATCTGGCAGTCGCTTGTGGCACCGGTATTGATGAGAAACAAAAGACGAGAAGCCATATTGTCAGAGTAACGGTCCCACAAGTGACTGCGACATGAGACTGGAAGACTCGACCCAGATTTCACTCCATTCTCAGTTAAAGTGGCGAATGAAAGAGGAAATACAATTCCCATGGAAAGATTCAATCGCCTCCAATTATGCCAGTTAATCTGTAAATAACTGTTCGCTGTTCCTCTTTTAACAGGGACAGTATCGTCCTGCCGAAATAAATACTTTTCACCGGGTTTGGTTTATCGCTATAAGTAATGGCTCTACAGCCATTTACGAACGAACAGTTGAACTATTTCAAGTTTGCTTTTGTTGTGCTGAATGAGTTCCCCAAGGTGTTACGCCAAACTTTTAAACACATGTGGGACAATACCTTCGCACATCTCCCTGGTTACCAGCTGTGGGATGACTCCATTGGTGTGCGAAACATGTTCCTTGCTACAGAGGGCGGTAAAACCAAAGTACCCACACACCTCTCTTACGAAGAATGGGATTGTAGCGCCTTGTTCCAAGCCACTATCCACGCGGAGTCCTTCGCTTTACCAGACACAGCAGGTCATCACAGGACACTCAGTGATTTGTACTTGAAGTACCGTAAACCGTCGCATGGAAGGTTTCATTCTTCTGTAGTCAGCCCTGGCGGAAATAACGCTGAAACTTTTGCACTGGCGATTGATCAACTGCGACTTCTAAGAAATGCCTTTTGTCACTCATTCAGCTCTGAGATTGACAAAAAGACGTTTGATCAATACATTCAATACACCAAAGACGCCATCGATGCTCTTGGCGCCAAGACTGACCCTATTGATGCCGTTGGAGGTTTGACTGAATCGGACTTTCCTACACCAAGAATTTGTAAGCTAGAAGACGACATCAAAAAGGAGCTTCAGACAGCAAGCGCATTTCTTAAGGACGATATAAGGGACGTGCTAATGGGAATAAAGTCAGATGTAGCTCAATCGAAACAGGAACGAAAAGAAGACGCAAAACTCCTAAAGAACCAGTTGACATTACAGGAGTTGAAAGAAGACACTTCAGAACTGAGGAAGGCAATCGAAAAGACAACTGTCGCAAACCAAGAAATGATGAATGAGAAAATTGCCGAGATTAATCAGAAGTTTGACGAGCTACTCAAGACTGAGCGATCTGGTAAATGCCGAAAGCGATTAGTGTATTGGCCAGCAATTTTATGTAACAGAGCAGTTTTCAACTGAGTGTCCAAAGCCGAAGTTGTCACAATACAAGTAGCTGATAACGATTGAAAGCACGTCAAAGGAAAATGTGTGCGAAAGATTCATGATAAGTTTTGGTCTAAGTCTGATTGGATGACAAAGTAGCAATTGGCTATCAAGTCAATCATGCAACGCGCTAATGCAAAACCAAAGCAAATCCAAATTATTTTCGAAACCCGAGTGAAAACCGATCTTCAAATGCATAGACAAAGCAGTTACTTTTGACACTCAAGTGAAAAATGCTCCTAAAATGACTAAAATGCTCACACAATCCGTACCTTAATTGCATGCGTTATTAATAAAACGATTCCAAAGAAACAGACGTCCGTTTTACGCTATTATAAATATGTAAGAAACAATATATCGCTTTCAGGCAGTGAAACTAACGTCAAATGTGCTCGCCTTCTGTGTACGACTTATTTTGTTCCTCGGGGTACTTCCGATAATGGCCTATACGGGGAGGCTTTGCCCAAAAGAGGTACCTTTTTCAGGCTTCAAGTATATAAAAGAGTAGGGATGTCACAAGTTGAGGTATATGAAATGGTAGGGAACTCTACCATTTAAGCCCAACGAGAACATGAACTGAATGAAAAATACTTGTTTTCTGGTTAACATCTCTTCTGGTTATGCATATTGTTCTCTGGAAATATTGATCATTTACTTCATTTCAATCCAAGGGTCTAGAAAGGGGATGGAGCGTTCTTAAGGAGGTATGTGAAAAGGGTGACGTTTCTTTCAAAATGGCATACGAAAGTGTAAGGGGTTGGACCGTAGGGTGGAGCCGTTCCGTATAAAACTCTGTAGAGTAGCCCCCCCCCGGGGGGGGAAGTTTGTTGTTTATTAAAATTAGAATTGAAAACCACATTTAAGCAAACCAAATACAGCGAAACGGTCTAGACGGGCAAAAATGTTAAATAATATTAGTTCTTTTATGTCATATTTCAACAGAAGAGTTTTCTTAACCTGTAATTTTTTTATTCTTTACTCTTCTGGTAGGACCTAAGACATTTCTACCAAGATCAAATCTTCCTCCAAAGGTTCCCCACTTCACAGGCCGCCAGGCAGAATGTGACGAGATTGTTGGTCACATGACTTCCGAGGCAACCCGACTCGTCTCCGTCTGGGGTTCACCAGGATTCGGAAAAACGTCTGTTGCGATCGCAGTGGGGCATCGTCTTCAAGCACGGGAGCTGTCCGTGTACTTTCTCTCATTACGTGGGCTCAAGTCAAAAAGCGATTTAACGTCAAAATTTCTTAGTCTGTTCCGACAGGCTGGGACACTTGAAAATGACAAGTTTCATGATTTATCAACTGATGATGAGCTTTGCTTAATTTTTGGCAAACTATTTCATTGCTGTGTTATAATCCTGGATAATGCCGATGAACTGTTTGAATGTGGTGTGCCAAACGTAAAAGAGGAGGTTATCCAATTGATTGGAGAAATCCTCAATCGCAGTGACAAGGTCAACTTCCTTTTAACAACAAGAGAGTCTTTGTCGTTTTTGAATTTACATTTTCAAGGACACGTGTCTATCAGAATAAGAGAGCTAGACAAGTTGTCATGTCAAGCCCTAGCTCGAGAATTGTTCCCAGAAGCGAGCTCTTCTGATTTGACAAAAGTTTCGCGAATCTGTGGGCAGGTTCCCTTAGCCATTAAATTATTGTGTTCTTCCATTTCTGAAGAATTTGCTCGATCAAGTCAATACATTGATGAATTCATAGAGCGTACAGAAAATATTGTAGAAATGTTGGACAACCCAGATTATCCAAGCAATTTGAGATTAGAATGTCTCTTCGAGTCATCTTTCCAGAGACTCTCTACACACGATCAAGAGGCACTAGTATCCTTGTGCATCCTTCCGGCAAATTTTGATGTAACGGTTGCCGCAGCTGTTTTGGGGATTACAAGAGCAACCGAAGCAGAGAAGGTGTTGCGAAGACTTCAGAGAAAATCTCTTATCGACTGTTGTTCAAATTTGAGTAAATTCTCTATGCATAAACTAATTCAATCGTTTGCAATGGAAAAGGGAGAAAATGACATGAGAGAAACAGTGCTCATCTCAAAATCTCGCTTCTATACATTTTACATTGGCTTATTCGAGAAACTCAATGAAAATTTCCTTACTGGGCGTTCCATGTCAGCATTCATTCAGTTCTATGAAGACGAAACAAACATTGTGCAAAGTTTAACTGACGGTTGTTTTGATTCCAAGACAGCCGACAGAGTTTTTGATGTTTTGACGAAAGCAGAGCTGTTTCTTGACTCACTCTTTTGGAGTGATGGATCTAAATTTGAGACAATTTTCGATTCAGCAATAATGGCGGCTAGTCAGTCTGGAAGAACGGTTTTCTACAGTCGCCTACTCACTTCCAAGGCGTTTACCTACGTGACCTGGGCAGAAAGTGGAAACACAAAGAAGCTGCTTTCTGAATCCAAGGAACTTCAAGTATCTACTTACTCCGACGGCGAAGAAGAAAAAGTAAAACACTTGTCCTACTATGGACTCTATCAGCTTGTTATCGGGAAGATAGAGGATGGAGTGAAAGTTTTGGAAGAAGCGCTTACCTCCATGAACACAAGTCCGGAGCACACAGTTTTGAGGCTGATTATTTCTCAAATTTTTGCCATCTATTACCAATGCAAAAATGACTCAATGAGCTCATTCAGTTTTTATATGAAAGCACTAAAGGAATGTAGAGATTTCGGAGACGCGAGTTTACTGGTTATCCCTATGCTACAGTCAACAACAATGCCAGGTGACGAACGTTGCTTCATGTCACCAAAAACAGGCAATGCTTTGGCAAACCAGCCTCTTAAATTTCAAGTTATCCTGCTCGTGAGCGAAGCAGTGAAAAACTTTTCTACCTCGGACACTAAACAATTTTTTGGCAACTTGCTTCTTGGCATACTACACGAGTGTGAGTCAGAACTCCACACAAGTACATTAGGCTGGTCAGTCAATTTTCATCGCAATGTCGTCGTTCTGCTGCAGTCACTTTGTAGAGACGAAGACGCTATGACAATTGCCGAGGGAAGGATTAGAATTTACCAACAAGCACTGCAACAAAGCCTTGAAAGAAACGAACAAACAGGTGACAATTCAGAACATCAAGAGGAGGCACTAGCCCAGAACTATTCAGAGCTTGGTAACATTCAATACAGGAGAGGCAATTACGCAGAAGCCATGACGTCGTTCCAACGAGCAGTTCATATCAGACTGAAGCTGTTTGGTGAAAATCATCCAGAAACCGCTGACAGCTACCATGGTATAGGGGCTACGCAACATTTAGTGGGAGACTACACCTCCGCTCTTGAGTCAAAAAAGCGTGCACTTGATATCAGAATTAAATTGTTTGGTGAAGCAAATGCAAAAACCGCTGACAGCTACCGTGAAGTAGGGGTTACCCAATATTTACTGGGGGATTACACCTCCGCTCTTGAGTCACACAAGCGCGCACGTGATATCAGAGTTAAACTGTCTGGTGAAGTAGATTCAAAGACCGTTGAAAGTTACCATGAAGTAGGGGTTACTCAACATTCCCTGCGGGATTACATCTCCGCTCTTGAGTCAAAAAAGTGTGCACTTGAGTTCAGATTAAAACTTTTTGGTGAAGAGCATTCAAAGACTGCTGACAGCTACCATTCTATAGGAGTTACACTGCTTTCTCTGGGAGATTACACCTCCGCTCTTGAGTCGCACAAGCGTGCACTTGATATCAGAATTAAATTGTTTGGTGAAGAACATTCAGAGACCGCTCACAGCTTCCATTCAGTAGAGATAACACAGAATTTACTGGGAGATTACACCTTCGAATGAGATTAAATTTCGATAAACATTTCAAAATAAAAATGAGCGATAGAAATTTTACACAACGTTTCGATGTCGTCATGACATCATTATCAAGTGACAAGAAAATAACGGTTCAACAGTGTTATATATGCGGTGAGAGGTGTTATATATGCAGAAGAGGTTCAAAACCTAAAAGTCGACGAAAACGACATTTTGGTATCCTATGATGTCACGTCTTTGTTTACTAATGTACCACTTAATGAAACTATCGAAATGATCGCCGAAAAAGCGTTCGTAAACAACCGGTTTAATGAAACACACAAGTTAAACATCACTCAGCCTGACCTGATTCAACTTCTAGAAGTAGCAACTAAGAACCAATNCGTGGCCCTCCTGTTCGCACATAACTGGTCCTTCTAAAAGATCTAACAGATGTCTTGTCTCAAGCAAAACATTTTTGTGATCCCTGGTAACTCTTAGCAGTCGGTGAGCTTCGTCGCAGGTTGAACAAAGATAGTCTTTGCAAACAAAACAGTATGAAATTACCATCTTCCCTTCGTTACAATTCATGCACGTCTCGGCAGCTTGGTCTCTATTGAACACAGTTAAGATCTCCTTGAATCGATCCAAGTGAAACGAAGTGGGAAAATCACGAAATGTGTTTTCCTCCGTGATTGGAATCGATGTCTTACAAATGGCACAGCCAATTTGGTCTTGATGTTGTCTTCTACCAATACGTGCCAAGTTATCGAGGCACATTAGACAGAATGAGTGCAAGCAAGGTAAAGTCTTGGGATCTTTAAGCGTTTCCAAGCAAACTTTACATTTTGTTGTTACCTCGAGATCTTTCAAACACCACTGCGAAGCCATGATGTGTTCTTGGCTGACTTGGCTACCTTCTTTGTGTACAGACATCACGTGACAGACCGTTTTTTTTTAGGTCATTTAGTGCAGGAGCTTGGTCACGCGATTTGTTGGTGATGCAATTTTGAGCGATTATGTGACATACAAAACTGTTTTTCAAAGCGTAAGAAATTTCCAAAGTAATAGCAGAGGTAGAGGAAATGCAAAGGCTGTTTCTGGAACAACACGAGCTTGGGTAGCCAACCCCTTGGGAGTGCCAGACTTCAGTCTATTTCCTTACCTCTGCTCAAGGAATATGTACCTGCACAGTAATATACAGTTAAAAAAAGAAAAAAAAGTTATGAAAGAAAAGAAGAAAAAACAATGCTATACTTAAATTCAGAGAAATCATGTAGAACTGAATGCTCAATACCAACTTATTATTATGATAAAAAAAAAATAGTCACATAGATATCAGTTGTGAGGTACAAGGGCAGTAATTTGAAATGCATGTCTCTTTTACATTCTGCATTTACATATGTCTATTGTATTCAGCACAATACTTGAATTTATGATATATTTATAATTATTATAATATAATAATAATAATTTTACTAACAATAATGGTGATGGTGATGATGATGCTACATATTTTTGTTTCCAACACGACTCTTTACATGTTCCATGCTTATAGTTGTTGCCATGTGCCTTGCCTAGTATGTATTTGGCAGCTTCTATGTTGTTTGCAGAACCTATTGAAGTGTCATAAAATAAGGTCACTACTTGTGTGCATTCCTTTTCAGACATGATGTACCTTTGGTCTTGCAATAAGTTCATGGATGATCAAGGAGATTTTAAGGCTAAGTATTATTTCAGTTGCCTTTCTATTTTCTGTTGAAANTCTGAAATCATCAATCATAAAAAAAAATTTCAAGATATTGAAGTGGTTGTTCTTGTCCTCATTGCTAAAATTGTTGTTGTTGTAATCTATCAATGTTCAATTGACCCTATTTTATGTTTTGGTAAACAGAAATAATCAGCTCCATTCTGCAAACAAGCACACAACCAAGAGGAAAGTTTATACTGGATATTTGTATTTAATTAATGTTCAATACCAACTTATTATTATAAAAAAAAGTCACATAGATATCAGTTGTGAGGTACAAGCACAGTAATTTGAAACGCATGTCTCTTTTTTACATTCTGCATTTAAATATGTCTATTATATTCAGCACAATACGTGAATTTATAATATATTTATAATTATTATAATATAACAATAATAATAGTACTAACAATAATGGTGATGGTGATGATGCTACATATTTTTGTTTCCAACACCACTCTTTGCATGTTCCATGCTTATAGGTATTGCCATGTGCCTCGCATAGTATGTATTTGGCAGCTGCTATGTTGTTTGCAGAACCTATTGAAGTGTCATGAAATAAGGCCACTACTTGTGTGCATTCCTTTTCAGACATGATGTACCTTTGGTCTTGGAATGAGTTCATAATTTGATGATCAAGGAGATTTTAAGGCTAAGTATTATTTCAGTTGCCTTTCTATTTTCTGTTGAAAAGAGTATTATTTCAGTTGATGATGTTCATTCAATTCTCTTGACTGATGACTTCAACTTAGTTTTTTTTGCTCGGAAATCTTCCCAACTGAATGACAATTACTGTAAATAGCACCTGTGTATATATCAATATTGAGAGGCAATAAACTGCATTCCAATTACTTTTTTTCTCCTATTAGGATTACAGCATAAGTTGAAAGCAGTGGAAGAATAACATGAAAAATGCTGATCAATCCCTCAAGATGTTGCAGAGTGGAGTTCAGAATTAGGGCTTACAATGTATTGTGAAAAAATGTAGCTTCAGTTGTAACTCGTGCGTTACCATTTTGGAAATAAATGTAGACTATGTTTAATTGTCTAGTGAGTTTACTTGTCATGAGTGTTTATGCTGCTTTCATGAACGACGGTGACCACAGTAGGGCACTCCGTCAGGATTTGGCCACCGTTTCCTTACATCTTCTACAACACAAACTGGCATGACCTCCCGTACGTCCTCCACGTAGCATCCCAATGCTTCTTTCCGGGCTATGTAAATGGGATCACGCCATAAACCACGGCGGTTTAGAATCGTATAAAAGGACTTATAGTCCCCCTTCCGCTTCACGTGGTTCGTCATTCTAGGCTGACCAAACGCTCTCAAACGGGACGGCAGGGTTTCACCGAAGAGAACACATGGGGACGAACGACAATATACACACATCTCATGCGTGACAGATGCTTGTGTTTCATTCATGTGCGGAGGATTTTGTGTCTGTCTGGTGTCGATCTCTTGTCGAACGACCTCTCGTTGAAGCTCGACACATGTTGCTGGAGTATTGTCGGCGGCTTCGTTTTCTTCGGAAACTGTCAAAGAAAGCAAGATTATATCGATGCGTGAGAACAACCTGTTTCGAACGCAGTGGTAAAGCGCTACTAAAGGACATCGTTAGGGAACGTTGCAAATGACGGGTAAAATTATGTTTCAGCAAACTTAACATGCCAAGAAAGGATTTTCGTAGTTAGAAGAAAAAGTCATACAAGTTAGATTAAAAAGTCTGACCCAAAATATCGTGCAGAAATATTTATCCGCTGCTTTGCAAACGGGGGCAATGAATATTTATGCTTCACGCTCTGACAGTATTCTACAATACCCACTGGGATCGGACTTGAGATTACAAATAGAACAAT